GGGAAGAGAGCCGAGCCGATCCAGAAAAAAAAAAAGAACATCAAGCCTTCACCTGGGTGCCGGTAGGCAGTCCCATCCCCAGTACAATGTGCCCCAAGCTAGGATGAAATGTGCTTAGCACCCCCCCCGTAAACCGCCCAGAGACCCCCGTCAGGGGATTAGGGCGGTATATGAAATCAAAGATTAAAATAAAAATACAAAATAAAACCATCTCATCCTTTGCCGTCCCTGAAAAGTACTGGGTTCGCCGCATAGAGGACTCGGACAACGACATGCGGTTGCACATGTTTATTGTACTTAACACAAGACTAACTGTAATGGCCCGACAGGGCCAACTATATACATATCCACCCAGCATCCCCCACTCCCATTGGAGGGTTTGAATGTCCCGCCCAAGTGGCTACTGGTTGGGCCCAGGGGTTGTTGGGCCAGTTGTGGTGTCGGCTGTTGGGCTGGTGGCTCGATTGCTTCCGGGAGAGTTCTGCTCGGCGTGGCCTCCTCGCTGGTCTGGGATGTCGGGTTCCTGAACTGGTGCTCCGGCTTCTGTCGTCAACTGGGGGGGGGGGGCTCCCGGTTCCTGGAGTTGTCACTTTCGTAGTTGGTTGATGTGTCTCTGCAGAAGTCGACCGTCGTCTGTTGACACCTCGTAGGAGACTGGTCCCTTGACCCCGGTGACTCGGCCTGCAAACCAGGGGGCCCCGGTCCTGTCATCCCAGAGGAATACTGGATCCCCTGGGAAGAACCCTCTCGGAGCATCTCGCTGTTCGATCAACCTCCTTGAGTCCGGTGCCCAGTCGGGGTGCAGTCTGTCTAGCAGTGTTGCCAGGCGCAGGCCCATCAACAACTCAGTGGGGCTGTGGTGTGCAGGGGGGCCCTTCGATCCAAACAGTTAACTGGATCTTCGGGGTATCCTCTAACTTGGGGAGGTGGAGTAACTGTAGGGATGGCCGGTCTGTAAGGAGGTAGAGGTTGGACGTCTCTGCTCCCGTCTCGTGGGTGGCGGTGTGGCGGCGTGCCTGAGTGGGGGGCTGCTGGTGCCGGCTTCCCTTTGACCGGCAGACGTGAGCGAGGTGACCCTGTTTCCCACAGGTGTGGCAAGTCGCGTCACGGAATTGGCAAGACTTGCGCTCGTGTGCCTCGCTGCAACTGGCGCATGAGGAACGGTCTGTGGTCTTTCCGGTGGGTCCAGAGGCCGCAGGACTCGGTGGCTTTTGGCGCGAGGGTGGCCGGACAAGGTGGACGTCCTCCTCTGAATTCTCGGGGCCCATGTTGGGGAGCACGAGGTGAGATGCAGCCGGCGGACAGTCACCGTAGGAGGCCTCGTGGCCGATGGCGAGTT